CTTGGCCCAAGGAATGAAAGGCAGCTGCGTCTACAAAAATAGTTGGCAGCCACACACACACACACACACACACACTTATACACACCTCGCAGTCAACAGCACTCCCCCTTCTACCCCCCCTTCACACCCTCGCTTTGTGTGTCGCCTCTTTGCATAGCCAAGTCACACTTTTAGGCCATTTTCTTTGCACTCAACGTTCGCCTTGTTGCCTTTTGCGTTGCTTTCTCGTGATTGCATTTCTATTTCTTTTACGCTCTCCTCCCCCCCACACACCCCCTCAACCGTGCATTGATAATTAATTTGTATATTACGCATACGCAGCGTGTGCTATAAAAGGAAAACTGAACAAAGCCCGTATCGAACTTTAAATCGGTTTTTAATGACTTAATTTGGCTCAAAAATTTAATAGATATTATAGCTAGACCCCTGACGCTATATCAAATGCCACTTAAATCCTTTGTGGTTGGGCGTAGGAAGGGGGGCGTGGCTCATCTACTAGCAACATCTATCGCTCATACGCAGCGTTGTCTCTTTCTCTCTCTGATGTGGCAATAAATCATTTGCAAAATGCTTGGCAAACTTTATCCCAACCGCACTTGACAAAGGGGGCCGAGGTAGGGAGGGAGGGGGAGGAACTGTGCGTTTTGCTGGAGGGGCGGAAAATAGATTCAAAGCGAGCCTGCTTTAAGTTGCGATGCGAAGTCTGCGCAAATATTGAAACCCAAAAAACCCAAATACAAACACGGCACAGTTGGACACAGTTTTTATGTGTGTGTGTGTGTATGTGTCTCTGTGTGCGTGTGTGGGTTACACACAGCTCTGCTCTTAATCCAAAATTCGATAAATATCGATCAATATCGATATATTTGGCATCACGCAGCTGGCTACAGGATATCTGCTAGTCGCGCACTCTCCAGCGCTCGTCTTATAATATATTAATGTATATATGTCTTTTTGTTCTGACTCGCGCTTTGTAGTTTGTCGTTTCCCTTTTGCTGCTGCGGCTTCATTCGCTGCTCGCTCTGAGGATTATGGATTTTTGTGTGCCACACACACACACACACACACACACACACACACACACGCACACACACTCGGTACAGGGGTTTGGTAGCCTGGCAAGCCATCAATTTCCCGCTCTCCCACCCACTCATCAGGCCGCATCTTGATGATGTTTGTCTGTTGGTATGTCTGCCGCAGCCCTCTGCCTCTCTGCTTCTGCTCCTCCCTCGCCCCCCTCCCTATCTTTCACTCTGTGTGTGTGTTAGCTACAATTTCCTTTCACTTGACTGACACCCAAAGCGGCAGCAGCAGCAGCAGCAATGTCCTCGCTCGTCGCACGTCCTGCACACACACTCAAGGATTGTGTAACATTTTTCTGGTCCTTCTTCTTCTTTTTGGTGTGAGCTGAAATGGCAGCCACTTCCGGCGCGCTGTCAGTCACCAGCTGTGTCTCTCTCTGTGTGTGTGTGTGTGTGTGTGTGTGTGTCTTGGTGTGCCATTTTTGCGCTTTCTCGTATTACACTTGACTTGGCTGCTGTCGCTGGCTGTCTGCTCGGCCGCAACTTCAATTGACCTTTGACTGAGTGCAGGTCGCCCCAGCATAACACCGCCCCCACCCGCCCCCCTTTTCCTGGCCTGCCTGGTAAGCACATTTTGGCCAACTTATGCGGCAGCACGCGCACGCAGCCAGCCAAGTTTTCTAGCTCAGCTTGTTTGCTATTCGGATTTTGCTGCCAAAAAAGAAAAGGCTTAAAGCCTCTTGAGCTTTTGGCTAATTGTCCTTATGTGACTTACATACGCTTATCAGCTTGTTGCCAACAGCACCAACCCACCAATCCACCTGCCACCTGCCTCTCCCACTTCAGCCTGTCTGTGCTTCCTGTTGTGCTAGTCGAGGCGTTGCTGCGTTTCCTTTGCTTCCTGTAGCTCAGGTTTTTATCAGCCTTTCACTATCGCTTGCCTTGGCCATCCTTTCGCCCACATTCTCTTTATTTTGTTGTTTCTCTTTATTTTGGCAAGGACACGCCGCCGGCGCTCAGGTAACTGCCTGCCACAGAGCTCTTGCACTATTTTTATCTAAAACTTTTGTCTGTGTGCATCTCGTGTGGGCAGTTACGTGTAAGTTCGCTTCCCTTTACCATCTCTAACCCGTTGCTATCTGCGAACAGCTCCAGCGGGGCCCACATTTTGCCATTTTAATAGGTCAAATGTTGCACGCGATTTTTGTGCTGCCTCACTCTTTCCCTTTCACTCTCGGCATTTCTCTCGGCTGCCTGCACTCCCGGCTGGTTATTTAATAGTTTGGCGCTTACTAATTGCATTGTCCTAATTGCCCAAGTTGCGCTTGAATGTGCCAAAAAAGAAGTAAAACGTGTAGAAAGAAAAGTAAGCAAGAAAGTAAATTGTTACCAGCGCATAAATACCCTGTAACTGCGCCTTTCCTCCCACCTTTGTTTGGGATTGAGAACAGAACCTGTCTTTAATCGAACGCCTCTTGCCCGTCATATACCCTTGACCCATTTGAGATGACGTACAGGGTATTATAGTTGGCGGAATGCTACAATGTTGTTGTGGGGCTTGCAGCTCCCAGAATTGTTGAATTGTTGCATGGCTGAATCTGATTTCTGTTGCCCTGCAGGCAATCAAATGCCTCACATCAAGGCTAACATGAATATGCTTGTGTGTGGGTGATTTGTACATATTTGTGTGTGGGTGTGTGTGTGTGTGGGTGGGTGTGTGTGTGGGCAAGACTGAAATACATTTGCAGTTGTGAAATAAATTGTTGATGAGCACATCAGGATTTTAGGATTAGCTCTTGCAAAACAGGAAATAGCCCACATAGATAATTTACAATTTGTCGATAATTAGCATAAAATGTGTGCGAGAAAAGCAGCAAATTCCATAATATCGATAACAATGGTCGATACTTTTATCGTTAATCGAAATTTTACCTTTAAGTGCTGCTGCAATTTATATAGAAATGATTATTAAATCGATACATCCTCTACTGGCAATGTCCATATAATTAAAACTATCGATAATTCGTATAAATTATGATTCGATAAACGATTAACGAATCTTTTAAATATTATCTTTACTTGCAAATGTCAATTGATATCGTTAATCGTTAATCGTTAATTTAACCTCCAGTGTTGCAGCAATTGAAATTCCAGCACTTATCGTTAATCGATAACTTTAAATATAGAGCACTTAACATTCCGTGAAGTGCTCGCGCGCGCGCTATCATGTGCCCACAGTCTGTAAAATGTTTGTGTTTTATTATTAAATTCTTTGGTGGTTCGTTTTCATTGGCATTACGCGTGCAATTTTCGCACGCGGAATTTTGCAATATATTGTCGAGTGGTCGCCACAAAACCAGGTGTGCTACCTGTGCTACCTTTGCTGCTGTGGGTGGTGGGTGTAAATTCTCTCTCGACACGATGGCCGCTTGGCTGCTGTTGATTAAATTCCGCTGATAGCGGTCATGTTGTCATGTTTGCCGTGATTTTCCGGTTGACCTCTGTTAGCATTGCTGCTCGTCTGTTCGCTGACTTTGCCAATTTCAGGGCCCACTTTGTGATGGGCATTTAAATAATGCAATTGCTCGTACATTTTAACGACTTGGCGCCGCCCAATCGCAACAAACGCATGTAAATAATTAAGTATTTCATTCCCCGAGCTACTCGCATTTATGTCAGGGGCGGGCACACTTAGGGCTAACAGTTGTGCAGATACATCCGCTAGACGCGCAAAGCTTTTAGTTTTTCATTAATTTCAGTTTTTCAAGAAAAACAGAAACACAAATTTATATGTGCCTAAAATAAATCTTTGCTGTTGAAAAACATTTTGGAAATGTGACGTGATTTAATGAGAGCAGCAATCGCTACAGATATTGTATCTATATATACATATATAGATATATATATGGATACATCTTCATATTTATATTTAGTTCTTGTTTTTTATATATATTTTTTGGTTGATTTATGGCCACAAGAGTTGGCACCAAGAAACGAAGCGAACCGAAGTGAGCAATAATCACGTGTAGATACCTTAGCTGACCCACACACACGACACACACACACAGATACACACACACACACACACTACACGTATATAAACAAACCTTGGTTCTCGATAAAGCGCCACCAATTTGGACTTATTGATTGCTAATGAAATTATAATTATGTTTTTTTTTCTTCTTCTTTGTAGGTGTAGTTGATACACGAGTTAGCAATAATCAGGAGGGGGTGTGAGGTGTTGGGGGAGGGGGTGGTACATTTGGAGGGGCGTGCAAGTGCTGCACGTTGGATTGTGAGTAGAGATACGACTTTGAGCAAACATATTTAAGCTTTTCGCTAATTGAACTCTGCCTCCTGTTAAGCTAGAGCCGTGTACAGTGGGCACACGATAAGAAAAACAAATTGGTATAGCTGGAAGTATAACATATTAAAAGTCGGGAATGCCACTTGCAACTCCGATAAAGGATTCCTTATTTAATTGCTCTTATAAAAATTGACATTCATGTATTCTCTAGTCGGTTCAATTGGCGAGCGCGCACTGTAAATATATATCTATGCATCTGCTAGATACATTATTTTGGCCATTTTATTGTTGCTGCTGCCGTTTGACAGTCAACAACTTTGTGTTGTCTGCCCGCCGCTTGTTGTTAAATTTAAACTCTCTGCCGCAGCTGAAGGTGAATTTATGGCGCACACATGTGTCGCCAGCGTCTCCGAGCCACCTCTCCCTCTCTCCCCCTCTCTGTCTCTTGCTCGCTCGTTGTCGCTCTCTGTCTTCTCCTTAGTGTAATGCCAGGTCTCTCGTGTGACATATGTCGTCGCTGTGTTCCCAAAATAGATGCATTTCGAAATGTAGGGGGCAATTTTTCAGGCGAAGATCAGCTGCAGCAGCAGCAGAGGCTGCCTCTGCCTCTGCCTCTGCCTAACTAAAACGTATTTTAATTCTCTCTCTCTCTTTCTCTTTCTCTCCCTTAGTTTTGGACAAAGCAAACCTAGCATTTCTTTCGTTAAAAAAAAAACTATAAAAGCTGAAGAACAACAACGCACACATACAGCAAAGGGCGCTGAGAAAAGAAACTGGAAAACGCAACGAGCAGCAAAACGCGACGTGACCTGACCTGACCAGACTCGACCTGACGTGACGGGACGACGGTCGCCAGCCAACAAACAATATTAATGCGTGTTAGACTAGACAAGAGCAACACAGACCGAACCAACGCCGCGTAAAAGCCCCGACAGGAGCTGAAACAGAACTCTCTACAAGAGCTAGAGAAAGGAGAGAGCGAGACAGACAGAGACAGAAAGAGAGAGGGAGAGAAAGAGAGAGAGAGAGAGAGAGAGAGATAAGTCTCTCACGCTTGTGGAATCGAATTTCTTGCGCCCCCACGTTTAAGAGAAACAGCCTCAAGATTCTGCCCTTCGGTGCCAACTTTCGTCTGGAGACGACACCAGCCGAAATGCACAAAATAACAGCCGCACCGGCTGCGGCCACAGCGCCAACCGGTGCACTGGAGGCGCCACTGGCAGCGCCCAAATACGGCACACTTATCCCGAATCGCATCTTTGTGGGCGGCATTAGGTAAGCAAAACGCAAACCCAGACGAGCCCCGGACCTTGGCTTGCAGCCTTCTCTGATAGAACCTAAACTAGATACATTACTGATTCTATCTCTGATCTCTCCACAGTGGCGACACCACCGAGGCGGATCTGACGCGTGTGTTCAGCGCCTACGGCACCGTGAAGAGTACAAAGATAATTGTGGATCGTGCCGGTGTTAGCAAGGGCTACGGATTTGTTACCTTTGAGACAGAGCAGGAGGCGCAAAGACTGCAGGCGGATGTAAGTAGAAATGTTTGTGCCCGCACATAATTTTGCTAATGTCGCCTGTGTTAATTTATCGATTAATTATCGATTATGATTTTTCGATTTCTGATGCTTTTTGTAACGGGAAGACCACAACACCAACACACACACACACACACATACACATACTCACCTTACACTCACTTACAAAAACAGCTGCAAACGTTATAATGTGCCTCCGATCTTTTAGGGCATTACCTGACCCACAGACACCACGCGCACACACACACACACACACCACGCTTTTGTGTGTGTTTGTGTGTCTGTGTGTGTGTGTTTGTGTGTGTGCAAGCAACAACACAAAGCGACGCCGTCAACACACCTGCCACTTGTATGAGCTGTAAGAGCGTGCCACGAAACTAAACGTGTATCGATGATATTTATCGTTTATCGATTTATCGATGTCTATCGATGACGGTACGGACGGCAAATTGTAATTCTTATGTATTTCTGTATTTCTTCTAATTGCGTTTTTGTTGAGTTACGTTTCCGAGTTACGTTTCCGTTGCGTTACGTTACGTTACGTTCGTTACATTATATTACATTCATAATCACACCAACACACACACACACACACACACACACACACACACACACACACACACACACACACACACACACACACACACACACACACACACACACACACACACACACACACACACACACACACACACACACACACACACACACACACAGCAACAACACACACACACATCTAGACACACTTTAACATAGCTTTAGTAAGACACATCAAATTTGCATTTGTTAGCTCGTTAGCGACGGCTGTCCCGTTTTCTTTTTTGTTATCGATAACTGTTATCGATAACACAAGCTCGTTCGTTTGAGTTCGTTGCACCGTTTCAAATTTCATTCATTTTCAATTTTCAATAATTTGTCTCTTTTTTAACCATTTTTGCGCAAATTAAACAAATTAGCTAATTGCCCACGCCTCGGTCTTGTTATAGATTGTAGATCTTACGTCTATATAGCATATATAAATATATATTGAGCTAGAGTCTAGTGCATTTTTTGCTGTATATTTAAAACGAATTTTATTTCAATTCGATGTTTTTCGTTGCAATATTTACAATTAATTATAATTTTTCTCAATTATGCAATATGTATAAAATGCAATGAAGGCAAGGAGCCGCGGCGGGGGGCATTATTTAGCTGTCAGTTGCTGGGTCAACCCACGCACCACGCCCTCCTCTGCCCCGCTTTCCGCTCCGCCTTCTGCTCATCCCATTTAGCTAAACGAGTTCCTAAATAAAGACAACAGCTTCTGACGGGCTCTGGGGCTGACACAGAGAGAGCCTTATTAGAAATTGTATTGCATTTTGATTAGAGTGTATTGCATAACAGCCAGCTGCTGCCTGTTCTCAATCTTCCCCGGCCCACCTCCCCACCTCTCCCCTCCCCACCGTGTGTCTTCTTTTGTGTGTGTGTGTGTGTGTGTGTGTGTGTGTGTGGCATACATTAAGTGAAAAAGTTTTCCACTTGTCATTAAATGTGCATTGTTATTGCGCTGCTGGCGCTTTGCACATTTTCAGTGTGTTGCACAAGTAGGTGTATTGGTATGTGTGTGTGTGTGTGTGTGTGTGTCCTTGTATGCTTACATGCTTTAACAACTCGCCTACCATACCGCCCCCGCCTCCGCTCCATCCAGCCTCGGGCAGCGACAACAATGTACGCTCTGTGGGCCTGCCAGCCGTGGCAACGTTTAACGAGGTTTTAATGCGCACACAACACACACACACACACACACACACACACACGCACGCACACCCACACACACACACATACACACATTTATATATATATACATACACATGCAGACATTTGCACTAATTAAATTTCGTTTACCCAAAAATTTCATTTGTGTTAAAGCTACCGCCCAAATAGAGTTCCCAGCCGTATAGACCTAGTCTCCGGCTATGCCCGACAGCAACCACAACGTGCAGAGTTCTACAAGCCACAGAGACACGCCCACATGAACACACACACACACATACGCACATACGCACACACACACACACACACACAAGAGCAGCTCTTCACTCATCTCTTGGCGTTTACTAAACTCCTGTGTATATGTTTTTTGATAGCGCACTAAATCCACACATTAGTATACATAATTACCAAGGCAACACACACGCACACACCCACACGCACACTCATACACATCGAGATGCACACGCATACACATAATAGACAGTCAAGAGCCCGGTTGGGCTACACTTCAAAGGCGCACTCGATACCAAAATTGAAATGTTACTTTGGCCAAAACATTTTGAATGCGTTTATTAATGCGCATGCCAGCTGACCATAGGGATTTTCCGGATTGGGTGGCGGGGGGGTGGGTGTGGGTCTTGCTTTCCACACTTTATAAATGTTGTAAGACACTGGACCAGAGAGCGCCGCCTCTTGTTGTCCTTTTTGTGTGTGTGTGTGTGCGCACAAGAAAGGCAACAAAGAAGGGGCCCAGCATTGAAGCCGTTTGAGAGGGTTCTTAATTAAATTCGCCCAAGACAAAAGTGGGTCGTACGACCTCCCGAGCAGCGAGAGCAACTCTTTTGTTTTTTACTTTTCTTTTTTTTTTTTTTTGTGTGTTTTATTTATAACTGTGGGTCGGCCTTTTGTGTTATGGACGCTTATCCTTGTGTTGCTTGACGTCTTTTATGCTTTGAGGGCCAAAATGAAAAGACTCTGGTCTGTTTGCCCTGCAGCGGTCAAAGGATACGGCCAGAAAATGTATAAAAACGTGTCGCCTCCGGTCGTTTAACAACTTTAAGAAACGGCAACAGCAGCAGCTGCTGCTCCGTAAATATTTGCTTAGGCCTCAACTCCGCCAACCCAATCCGTGGGTGGTTCGGTGGTTAAATGCGAGCGCCCATTATGATGGCTTTTCATGCATTTCAAGTGCAAATTGCTGCGGCTATCAGCGCCTAATTGCCAATTAAAGTTAAACTGACCCGTAACCCGTGTAACCGGCAGAACTGACAAGTGGCTCCCAGGCACAGTGGAAAGCGATTAAAGCGGGGAAACCTTATCGATAGCATTTCAAAAACTTTCACCAAATACAAAGAAATCCTTGCAACAAAGCTAAATGGAATTAATGAAGGGAAACCCTATCCTCTTCCAATTTCCCTAAAGCCCTTCGATAGCATTTCAAAATCTTTCATAGAATTATTGTAGCGCTCTTTTCACTTGGTGGCAACTCCATAAAAGATATAATCTTTGCATAGCTTTCGACTAGGTGGCAACATATTACGTATTACTGGTTGCTTTACAAACAAGTCGGATATCCATTCGACATCTTACTCTTACTAAAACCAGCCTTTAGATCTATTTTTGGAGCCGCACAATTATTTTGTACTAGGTGGTAACTCCATAAAAGTAATTCTTGCATAGTTTGACTAGCTGGCAACCCGATAACGTATTATTTGTAGCTTTAAAGAAGACTCAGATCCTATCGACATAATAACCAGTTTAGAGGAGGCCCTCAATACATTCGTAACACAGGTGGCAACACCATTCAAATAAACTACTAGGTGGCAACACCATTCAAATAAACTACTAGGTGGCAACCCCATATAACGTATACTGGTAGTCTTACAGTCTGATCCAAAGTCAGATGCATTCTCGACATAGTATTACCCGATTTTTTTCAACTAACCCATAAATTCTCATTCTCGGCCTTTTCGACGTTTGTTTTTTGAGTATTCCGCACACGTAACTTGTACATTTTAATATATATATATATATATATATAATTTTGCGATTTGGTGTTGGCGTTCTTGAATTAAAACCAAAGTATGATAGTTGTTAAATTTGAATTGTATAGCCAAACTGATGGAAGCTTTAATCTAAAAAAAAAAAACGCTTAGTTCAGTTCAACACTGTTTTATGTTTTTGTTAAGAACCGATTTATGTGCGGCGTGCAGAGATTTTGAAAATGAAAATCGAAAATCAAAACCAAAGTGAAACACATTCCAAACCGAATTGCAGTACATGACATTTTGTAATAAAACACACACATAAAACAATGCCTAAACTATATACTATACTACTTGATATACATATTCAATTTTTATATTATTTATTTTTTGGCTTGGCACGTGTTTTTCATGAATCTGTTGGCCACATTTTTGGGCTCTGCCGCTGCCACAAAAAAAAAAACAAAGAATAAGAAATAAAAGCTCAAGTAAAATTGTTGTTCCACGTTGAAAGACAAAAGCGTTGCGCCTTTTATTTAATTTTCTTTTGGTTCTTATTTCTTTTTATTGAGCATTTTTTTTGATGCTGCTGCGTTCGATTTGAATTTGAATTTGAATTTCCAATTTGAATTTCGTTTGGCTTGTCTGTTGATGCCACACACAACACACACACACACACACACACAAACACAACAAGTTCTTACCACAAAAAAAGAAAAAAAAAATAAAAATTCTCTACTAAATATGCATACACTCTTCTCTCTTCCCCGCTGGCTTCAACTCTGCCTTCTGCTCTCAGGGTGAGTGCGTGGTGCTGCGTGATCGCAAGCTGAACATTGCGCCAGCCATCAAGAAACAGGTGAGTCTCGGCTTTAGAGTATATAACTTGATTATATTATATCAACGCATTTTCTGTTTAGCCCAATCCGCTGCAGTCGATTGTGGCCACCAATGGAGCCGTTTATTATACCACCACGCCGCCGGCACCGATTAGCAATATACCCATGGATCAGTTTGCCGCTGCCGTCTATCCGCCAGGTGAGAGAGATTTTGAGATAAAGTATCTCATAGTTACATCAGAGAGTTTGTATGCTTTACGTTTACGATTTCAAGTTCATATGGCTTTAGTTGTGTTTTATAAAACGATATTTTCTTTTTTATATTCCATTTTTACTCTCTTTCTCCTCTCAAACAAACAACAACAACAAACAACACATCTATAAACAATCTATGTAACGCCGGACAAATTAACCAAAACTAGTTACTGACTTTACAGCCGCTGGCGTGCCAGCCATCTACCCACCTTCAGCCATGCAATATCAGCCATTCTATCAGTACTACAGCGTGCCAATGGTGAGTACTTCAAACAAAATACCTTATACCATACTTAAGATAGATATTAGATACTAGATGGATAGATATTCGATGCCAAGGTAAACGATTTTATAATAGATACAGGATAACATTTATAGCATTTAAGGGGATTCTAGGATATGGTTTTTATGGATACTCCCTGAAATGTTTTTTGTTTCTTAGATATATATTGTGGGATATTCCAAGGTAAACGATTTCATATTAGATACAAGGTCATGGGATATGGTTTCTAGGGAGCATACTCTCTGAAGGATATTCCTTAAGGACCTCTAACGCTATCGAGTATACTTCGGCTAACTGGTTTTCTTTGGTTCCGGTTTCGGTAATTTGCCGTCGTCTATTTTATAATGATCCGAAATCCTCTGATCAATAGAGGGCGCCACATAGAATCTATGCTTCCTTCCTTTTAATTAAGTTGAAATGGGAACGAATAGACTAGTTGGTGCATTTATCTTAATAGGGTATCGCGTCTGGAGGATAATTCTACCATTGAATAGGGATCGAACAGCTCTGCTCAATAGAGGGCGCCACATAGAAATTATGCTTAATTCCTTAAACTAAGACTAACCTTTTCTTTCTCTTTATTTTACAGAATGTACCCACCATTTGGCCTCAGAACTATCAAGGTAAATAGAGCGCAGTGCTCACTCAGTCTCTCTTTTACTTTCTATCTCTGCCTAGCGTGCTTTCACTCGCTCTATCTTTCGCTCCCTTTGCCTGAACACACTTTGTTCTCCGATGCTTGCTCATATATATCCTATATATATATATATATATCTATATATCTATAGATCCGTATTTAACTGTATTTTTGCTGTAGTTTTTAACACACACCTCTTTGTATACGCTTTGTTTTTCTATCTTTCTTTCTTTCGGTTCTTGCTGCACAACAATTCAACGCCGTTCAAAGGTTAAATAAAACCAAACTACAACAACAACAACAACCATAACAACTACAACAACCAGAACAACTAGAACAACAAATTTTCGTAGTCGCAAAGATTTTTCGTTGAGAGCTGCCCGAGCAACAACAACAACAACAACAAGCAGCAACAGCAGCAGCAGATGCAGCAGCAACAACTACAACTACAACTACAACAACTACAACTTAAATAACTACAACTACAACAACAACAACAACAATAACAGCCACTAGAACAACGCTGCAAATCCCCGCATCGCTCTCTGCAGTTGCCCGCAGCCGCACAAAATACAACATACATAAATTTAGTTTTAATTTTAATTTAGCATATTTTTAATTTAACTCTCACACACACACACACACACACACACTGCGCTCTAGGCGTCAATTATTAGTTAAATGCCACGCCCCCCTCCCCTCGCTACAGCTAGGGGGCGCCCTAGGAGAATTAGTCAAAAAAAAAAGGCAAGCAAAAATTTAATTTTATATTTTTTTTTTTTTGTATTAGAAACTGCGCCATTTAATTCAATTAATTCTTCTTTTTGTTGTGATGCCTGCGCATAATATTGTAGCTAACGTATACATGTAGTTGTGAGCACACACACACACACACACACACACACACGCGCCACACACAGATGAATATGTTTTGAAATGTATGCAAAATGTTCTTCGACTGTTTCTTGTAGGCATTTATCCCTGTTAACTTTGAGGATGCAGCAACAACTACAACAACAATAACTACAACAACAGTAAATACTGATGCTACTTACTACAAGAACAACAATAGCAACAACTACAACAACTACAACTACAACAAAGCATTAATAGAATTTATTTAAACAGCAGCAGCTGCTAAAGTATATTATAATAAATTTGTAGCTACGTTTTCTATAGATACGTATAGATACACAGTTGGAAATCAACCAAGGACACAACACACACACACATGCATACGCACGCACGCATGCACACATACATACATATATATATAAGAGTGCATAAGCAGCTTATGTTTTTAGTTGGTGGAGCTGACTAAAGTGCGGGAGGGAAGCGGGGCGGCGAGTCCGGGCTTGACTGTACTTCAGTCGCAACATTTAATAATGTGCAATTAGCGGAGGTGGAATGGCTGCCAGGGAGAGGACAGTTGGGGGGCTGGTATAAGGGGGGAATATGCAGGCAACATTGTTGCAGCTGCTATTGCTGCTGCTGCTGGCAAACGGCAAATGAAAGACAGAAATAAGCAGCAAAAATAAATTTATATGTAGAAATATAATTTTGGGTTATTTAGCACAAATGAGACAGATACACACACCCACACACACACACACACACACACACAGAGAGAAGCAAGTCAAGTCAGCTAGAATATTATTTATTGAGGCAGTAGAGCAGCAAATATACCGAAAAGAGAGAGAGAGAGGGAGGGTAGAAGAGAAACGCGTACATTAAGTATAAGAGAGCGTGCAGCGGGGAGGAGGGCAGCAGAACGAAAGTTGAAAGACATAAATTATGCATAAATATTAATTTATATAAAATACACACGCACACAACACGACACACACACACACACACACACACTTAAATGTAAATGTAACTGTAAATGATAACGGTAAATGTTATACACATACAGCAATACAAAGCAAAAGCAAAAAGTAACTAAATAATTAGTTTAAAAAAAAAAACCGCCGCACAAAGAAGGCGCGCAAGCTAAAAGATAACATAACTACACACACACACACGTACACACATACACACAACTAACATACACATATATATATACATGCGTAAGTTATATAGAATATTTGTAAGCCAAGCAAAAAGTAAACTGAACGAAATTGTAGTCTTAACGAAGCAAAAAAAAAAAAAACTGATGTTAAAACGAATTAAAATACTAAAGGCAAAACAGAGAGAAAAGCAAAATAAATATTAGTACTTAAGGCAAAGTGAAAGAGTATGAAGAAGAAAAACAAGAACCTATACAATAAAGATATTCAAAATATGCTAGCTAAAAGAGCAAAAAGTATGAAAAGTATATACACAATATACCATATACACAAATATATATACATGCATACATATATAAATATATATATACTATATACTAATTATATGCCTAGTACATAGCGAGACTATTCAAAACATAAAAAACAAAGAAAATAATTTAAAAAAAAAGAATAACTAAAGCAATACATAGACACTCAAATAAGTGTGTGTTACACGAGTATTTAGCTAAATACAATACATACATAAAATCTAAAAAAAAAAAAAAATACTAAACTAAATACTAAAATGAAATTATTTGCGGCGCACAAAGGCAAACGGCGACGGCGGCAAAATAAAAATTGGTGCAAAATTTGGCTGAAAAATCGATTAGAATACCCAAAAAAAAAATAATGAAAATTAATCGAATATATATATGTATATATATATTTTACGAGTATGTTTGCCTTAAGATCAACAATATTTATTTGCTTCCACAAAATAAAATATGTATATGAAATAAAAGAAAATCGAACCCAGAGGTTTCACAAATTACCTGCAAATTCAAGCAGTAGACACGCCCCCCTCCCCCAGTGCTGCCGTCGCCCACCCCCTCCCCTTCCCTCCCACGCCGCCTGCGCCGCACTTCAACTTGTTGACAAATTTGTAACGTTTAAAGATAAAACTCAATTGTTGCATAGTTAAATATAACATTAAAAGAGAAAAAAAAACAAATTTTTAAAAATCGAATCGTAACAATAATTAGAAAAAAAAAACAAAAACAAATAGAAGCAAAGAGAAAAAGAGAGAACGAAAATAAAAGCAATAATTAAATAATTGATATGCTCTAGTTGAAAACTACAACCACCAGATAAGCCACATACATGCATACATGCATACGTACATGCATACGTGCATGCATACTTACATATGTGCATGCATACGTACATGCTGCATGCATACGTATATGCATGCATGCATACATCCTACACACAAACAAACACACCCACACAAACATACACCCACACACATGCAGTGTACTTAAGCCAGTCGCGGATTTATGTTTCTTAACTTAAAAGTACTCAAAGCGAAATAGTTTAGGTTATGAATTTTTGTTGAGGTACAGTCGTAAATGTCCTGCAATACCCAACACACACAAACATACACACAGACACACACACACACCCGCAGACAGCAACTAATAAATCCAAGGCATAACTTAAGATATATACGTGATATTTTGAAAAACAAAAAGCAAAAATTCATAAATAAATTGTTTAGGTTTAAAAGGAAAATATTAAAAGAAAAAAAAAAACAAAAAAAAAATATATATATATATACAAATGGCATAATTATTATGAACATTTTTGCTGACATACATACAAAATGATAAATGAAAAAAGTTTAAGATTTAAACTGTTTGTAACTCAATTTATTGTCTGACTCGAGGGCAGAGGTTCTTAAGTTTTTACTGAGCGCAGTAGTCGAAGCAGATTGTGTCCCATCGTCAAAAAATCTATTAAGTTTATACATGCGTATATACATATATATATATATACATAAATAAAAATAGTGAATATTTATATTGTATACTACATATACATAACGTACATAAAGCATATAAGTGTATGTACTAAATATATTTAAATGAACAGCAACTAATAAGAACACAAATTAGTCAAAGCAAAACTGAAAAGATAAAAAATATAAATAAATAAATATATATATATATCATAGCAAAAGGCATAAACTGTAAAGCTAAGTAAATGAAAAACAAAATCTATATTAAAAAAAAAAAATATTATTATATATACATATTTTAAAGCAAAAATCAACTGATTAAAGTGCGGCTCAAGTTAGGAGCAACGTTTTTTAGAATTTAAGTAACAACCTACCTAAAAACAAAAAAGGAATTCAGCAATTAAATGGAAAACTGTAATTAAAAAAATACATACGCGCAGCTCTAGAGTAATTAAATGTGGAAATGCGACAAGATCATCACAATATAAAAACACATCACACACACACACACACATGCGAGAAAGGAAAGCTTAAAAGAGAACTAAAAAAGGTAAAACAAAACAAAAAACAATAAAGCAACAGCTACTTAATTATTTTTAGCATACAAAAAAAAAAAAATGACGAACGCACACTAGAAACACAAATTCTTATTTATTTAATTATTTGATTATAATTATTGCTTTTAGTTTAGTTACACTTGACGCACAGCGCTTTTGCATATGCGCATGCCAGCCCGAGTCTGATACCCCAATCCAATTCCAAGATCCATTTTAATTTTCCATTAGAAACCCAGCCACCGATGCCGCATCATGCGCCCCCGCATGCCGCCTGGGAGTTTGATGATGGCAGCAACAATAACAATCGCAACAATAGCAAAAGCAACATCTCGGTGACCAATTGGCGCATGTCCATGTAGTCTCCATGCCTAGTCTAACAGAAGAACTCAAGAATAATACGGATAGAACACGCACACATATATATATATATACACACACACACACACAGAGCAGCAGCAGCAAAGGAGAAGAAGAAAAGAATCGAAGAAAATCGAATCAAAAGCAAAACAAAACAGAAGAAGACGCAGATGAGAAGAAAAGCAAAAGCATAAGAAAAATATATCAAGAAAAACAACCAGCGCCTGGCCCGCATTGCGTGTCGTTGCCAAGCAACGAGAGAGAGAGACAGAGAGAAACAGAGAGTGAGAGAGAAAGAGAGCCACAGCAGGCAGAGTTCGAACCAGAACTGGCTGGCAGAACCAAAATGTTGCCAATGTGAAAGCATATGTGGAAAATGAGCAAGAGAGAGAGAAAGAGAGAGGAAAAACAATGGAGAAAGAAAATGAGAAAGAAAATACTTAAAACAAAACAAAACAAAAAAAAACAATGCAGCATTGGTGGCGCCACACCTGAAATAGTTTCATAATTTTTTCGTTAATTTGTTTACCGATTGTTCAAATTGTTTCATAGTTTTCTGTATTTCGTTTCTATTGTTCGTTGTTTCGTTTCTAAGCCAGACTTTCAAAATGGGCTGCAGTTCGTGCCACAACAATAACAACAACAACAACGACAACAAAAGCAGGCTTAGGCAGGGTTTTAGCAAGTCGCAACGTCGTTTCCCCCACCCCCCACCCAATCCCTACCCCAACTAGAGAATAGGCCAAGAGAGAGAGAGAGAGATCAGTCGAGACCAAAGCATATCCAAACTTCTTCAGGAATTCTTTCGATTAACACGAAATCCCAATCAATCACTATCAGACGTAATTACCCCGTCTCGCACATCTCTTATCCCATTTCACCGCCGCAAGTCTTGCTACTATCCCCCCGCCCCCGCTCCGCACCGTCCACCTTTGTCCTTTGCTACCGACTGTAGCCCTCAATTGAATGATACCGAAAGCGAATATAGTTATCGTATCAACGTTTGGCCAAACCAAATTTGTTTCGGGTTCAATTTTGGCGTTCCGATTAGTAGTTCTTCTATATAATATAATAAAGGTCTGCAATTTCCACTTTGGCCGACAACAATTTGCAAAATTTTCAACGTTTCTTCTAAAATATATATATATATATATGTATATATATTATATGTATTATACTCTGTATTTTTACCATACCTTGCATTATTTGGCTGCTTGCGCGTACAAAATTCGTTGCCCTTTGTGTATATGTGTATATATAGAAGTTTTTTCTAAATTTCGAAGTTAGCCAACAATTACCAATTGTCAAGCAAATAAATGAGAGCCCGAAACGAACTATTGATTTTATTTTACTTTTATATATTTTCATGTTTTTCCTCAACACACACGCACACACACACACGCAAAAACACTCCACACAGCACATGCGCGCGCGTGTCGTATACGTAATGTGCACAAAAAAAACTGTAGCATACTTTCAGGACGCTTCAAAGTGAAATTCGCAAACGTGCAACGAATCTTAAGAGAGGACAACTATACAGATTCAGTGAGTTATACGAATAGTTGAATTAAACGGTTGTGTCAAATTAGCTCTAATTACTACAGAGAAAAGTCCTAACTTCGGCTAGCCGAAGCTCGAATACCCTTGCGAGTGAAAAGAAGACAGATTCCTTGTCCGTTTTTAACCAAATGTAATAGCATGTGTGCTAGCTAGACTCGTTCTGCCTGAGTTGAATGGGCAATCATATACTCTTCACTTTCGCAAGGGTATCTCAGTGCGGTCAGGCATCGTCTATTTAAGCGTATGTACATATATACATGCAAATACTATATATACTCTATATGTGGAAAAGCAGCAGCCTCTATAATCGAAATCTAAATGTTCAATTATTATTGATTTGCTAAACTTAGTCTCTCTCAAACTCTTCCCGTGCAAGTATATCTACATAGAAAGATAGTCTATATCTATGCATATATGTGTGTGTACCGCATAAGTTATAAGAAAAATATCTAGATGGCGTCTACTTATTATACGATTCATTCAAAACAAGTACTAGCTAAATCGTTAAATAAGAAAATGCATTTTTTAAAAAACGTCTACGTGTGAATTGATTAAACCTTATATACATATATACCATACATATGTATATAAAATACATTTTATTAAATATATATATATATACTCTATATATATGTACATGTCGAGCAGCGGAAGCATTTTTTATATAACAAGCGAAGCGCGTGCGACACTTGGGCTGGCACGCCCCTCCTCTGCCCCCGCCCCCGCCCCAACCAAGCAGCGACCCTTTAGTTGCACACGTGTGCGTGTGTGTGTGTGCGTATGCGCGCATGTGTGTGTGTGTGTGCATTAAAATGTTTTTGAAGTAAAATTTAATTTACACAAGACTGACGCTAAAAAAAAAATATAATTAAAAAATATATTAAAACAAACGAAAATAAAAAACAAAAAAAAGTGTTTACGAATTTTTCAAATGCCACACACAGGCAACACACCTCACCAATACTCTAATGCAGCTCAAGGGCAGCGGCGGCGTGTGTTGAAGGGGTATAGCGCGCACGGGGGGCGGGACGAAAGCAGTTGGGGGCAAGTTGGCAATTTGATTTGGAATTGGTATTTATTTTTTTTTTCGGGCTAGTCGCGAGCGCGTTTTATATATATAGTATATGGTTATATTATATTGTATTTAATAAACGGAAAACCTGAGATATACATATATATGTATATTATATATAAATATTTATATTTACAAAAAAAAATATACAGTGTTATTTTTATGATATTGTACTTATTAGTCGAACCGCAAAACAAAAAAAAAAAAAACACAAAAAATATGAAAACTGGGCATTAGAAAGCAGCATAAAATTACAATTGAATAAAAAGATATCAAATAATAATGATAGTATAATAGAGCAATATTATGATAGTAAAAACACATACACAGAAGAAAATGTGATTGATAAATACAGACGTAACACACACACACACACACACACACACACACACATTCATGTCATTTCGCAATAGGCCCAGTCAAAAAAAAAAAAAAGGTTTGGGGCATTTGAGAGACACAGCTGTCGTTATTATATTGTAAGAGTGTGAATAATGAATTGAATACTGATTGAATCATTGAATCAATTGAATCAACTTTGCATATGAATATAGCGCATTAGCGTATCCAGAATTAGCGGAGAGTCAAAGAACGAAACAAACAACAAAATACAATAAACAACGTGCAACGAAACTCTACAAGATATAGAGAAGAGAATTGCTGAGAATAACTGAGAAATACTCGAGAATAGTTGAGAGGAAAGTAGACAAAAAGAAAACACTCACAGGTGCATTACATATAGCATAGCAGAAGAGTTAGAGCGAGATAGCTGTAATAGGCATTGTATTCGTACTTATATTTAGTTTTAACAATAGGACCCCCCCAATTCGATAACTTTTGAAGAAAAACCGTATAGCCAGAAAGTTTCGTTTTCCTTTTTATATACAACACGTTTTTTGGATCATTATTGTCAGCAAAGCATTTTTGAGAAACTTCTACACATATTTAGTATATATATACATATATACATGACAATTTCGATATCGTATCAAGCTTAAGGCATGTTCGGGTATGGCAACAACAACAACAGAAACAACAACAGAAACAACAACAACAACCACAACAAACATATGGCAAATGGTGAAAGCAACGAGAAAGGCAAAAGACAAATTTGAGTGTTGCAAAACGCGTGTTGCGGCAAATGCATAGAAAAATATTTAAACGATATGATATGATATATATATATATAGAAATACAACTCAAAAAACATAAATTGTAGCTAAAATGGTTTCAAGTAAACGAAAAATTGTTGTTGAGTATTTTTAGTCGATGAGAGATATATGAGAAATGCTCTCGTATACGAAAACAAAACAAAATGGAATTTATTAACACTGTTTTCTAGGTTTATTATTAGCACTTATGCGTATATTTAGTTTTTTTTTTTTCTTAAGGAAACATTCTGTTTGCCTTCTGCTGACAAATTAAGTGCAAAATTCTGCAAACGTTTAAATTAAATTTTCTCTCCATTTTCGCCCGAAATCTAAAACTTGTTGTTTTCTAAAACTTAACGAAATTGCACACTGAGCTGCAAACTACATATTAGATGCATAGCTGAAGATACAGATACACACACTCGCACACACACTCACACTCACACACACACATGTTAAACGGCCAGTTAAGAGTATATGGCAGAAATAGCAAAGATTAGCGAAAAGATAAACTTCTAGATAAATTATAACTTTTAGCTAAAAAATAAAATAAAAAGAAAACACACCACAATTAACAAAGTAAACAAATATTGAATTGTATCCAAATTCTTCCGTACAACAAATTGAAAATCTCTACCACACGATGAGAGTCTATATATACAACAACTACAACTACAACTACAACAACTATATATATGTATATATATATATAGTATACCGAGCAGCATAAAGTAGCGACATGAAATACGTAATACATATGAGAAATTCAGCCCAACACTTAAATACAATAAAAAAAAATACACAGATCAAGTTCAGGATTAAACACATTCTAGATCACAAAATTAGAAAACTGAAAAAAAAGAAATTCTAATAAAAATATCAACTTGGAGCAAGATCTATGCAACTGTATAAAAGATCTGGAAGGGAGAATAATAATAAATATAATTATAAACAAAAGTATTACAATTTTGAGCTGCAATATTTTTTAATCAAAAACCAAAAAGTAAAAAAAAAATATATATATATATATATTATGGATAAAAATTAAAAGAAAATATTAAAAATAATTATTAATATATATTTTTCTCTTTTGAGATAAACGGAAATGCAACTGTTTTCGAGGTGTGAATTGAGTTAGGCAAAAAGAAAAAAAAATGAAAAACGTAAAGAAAGAAAAATAGAAAAACACAAATACAAATACAAAAAAACATATTCCAAGCATCAAAAACCAAAGAAAATTCTAAGAGAAATCTTAAACAAAAAAAAAAAATAGAAGAAAAAGTCGTCAAAACATTTTGTGTGTACTTTTTTCCGTGGTTTTTATGTGTACAAGTCAAAAAACTTCCGTGTGCAAAATATATATAAAAAAAAAAAAATAATTAATAATAATTCAAAAGAAAACTACACTACAACTACACTACACAACAAAAGCAAAGCCCAACTGAAATTGTCAAATACGAAATCTATATGAATATATATTTAGATAACTATTATATATATATATACATATATATATATGTATATATATATTATATACATGTGTGCAAATTATTCAAAATACATCAAATATGATGCCGAAAAAAGGTCTCTATATACATACATATATTTAGTAACAATTATAAAGAAAGGTTAAAGCAAAAATAAAAAAAATATAAAACGGATACGTAGTACAATGGCAAGCGAAATATGAAGTATAAAGCAAAAACATATTAAATTAAAACAAAAAACAAAATATGAAGAAATTTAAATTAAGGAAAGGCAAAAAATAATTATTTATAAAGGCTGTAATTTTAAGTAAACGATCTAATTACGATACTTAAAAAAATAATTGATAAAACCAAAAACAAAAAAAAAAAAACAAAACAAAGAAATAAACAAACGTAAACACATTTCACCCACGACATGAAGAATTATATTAACTAAATGCTAAATACTATACAAACTAAGTACGATCGATATCTAAAAGGAAATTATAAAAACTAAAACTAAAGGAAACACACACACACACACACACACAACATACATAAAAAGTCACACAGAAATGAAAAAAAAAAAAAAAACCCAAACCGAAAAACAAAAATAAACATAAATAAATGATATATATATATATATATATATATATATGAGAGAACTCAATGTATGTAATAATTATGAAACTAAATAAAAATACATAAAAATACATAAATAATTAGAAAGGATTCAAGTGCGCTCTATTCGATATTATCGGGAATTCACAGTGTCAAAAGTCGAGTTTAATTAATCTTGAATTTCAAACATCTTCAGACTCGTGCAAGAAAGTGAAGTTCTTCGTATATATAGTTCAAAGTGCCTTCTGTCTAGCTCAGACGGTGACTAAATTTGTTTTTAGTTTGTCAATATATTATGAGAAATGCTAACTTTACTATTTTGCTCTACCCAAAAACCGTAAGAATTATATCCAAACGGGCAGTTAACCCAGTTTTCACTTATTTTCCCCCCGCTCTCAACATATCAATTCACCGTGAAATAAGAAAAACTATTACAAAAAATGTTTAGTCAAGAAAATTGCGATTTCAAGCGGATTCGTTTCAAGTTCACATCACACAGCCTATCTAACTGTGTCGGATCCATTGATTAAGACCCGATCGTGGCATGCTCTCATGTCATGCCCAGAGCCCAATGCGATGACGCATAAACGTGAGACCCCCTATCAGTGCCTAGCCCCAGTTTCCATTGGGTAATGCAAGCAAAAGTTTTTATTTTGTTTTTGGTTTTATTTTGTTTTTAATGTGAGGGCATCGCCTCACGGCAGCTCAACTTTGGTGGTTACAATAAATACAACTAAGAATATATATATATATGCGATTATAACGCTTAAATATAGGAACTACATTATATCAGGGGGGGGCGTGGCAGCTGTGGCTACTCTTTGCTGATGAAACTGCGATTCGATCTCTGCATTCGAACGCTCTGCGGCGCCTTTTGGCTGCGATCAAATTCACAGGTCTTGTTGGTCTTCAGCATGCGAGAATCGGGTCCGGCGGATGTTCTCCAATAGACCGTCTGTACGGCATTACGTCCGGCTATGAAGCGCGATGTGGAGCCCACCAGATAATTGACTTTGTTAGCCGCCGACATTTTTGTGCTGGATTTGTTGTAAGTACTTGGAGTAGCTATCACAGTTGGGTTGCGATCACTATAGAGCAGGCTCTATAGGTTACTTTATGGTATTTTTCGTGGTATTTTTGCGGTATTTTTGCTTAGAGCATTTGGCGCGTTTGACAAACGAAACGTTTCTGTTGAGCTGATTGCCAGCAGCAGCTGCTTTTATAGCTCGACTTCTTATCGCCATTGTTGGATTTGTGTCTAGTCCGGTTATCGCTTGTAAGTTGACTATTATTATTTTATTTTTTTTTTTTTTGTAGCTTTGATGATGGCTATATTAATTGATTAGTTTATGGATTGGGACGCGTGCAACTGCGACACAGTTTTGTTTATATTTTGCCTCAATGAACACAGGTGCCTGTTGCACTGCTGCAAACTTCCATGTGCGCAGCTCAAAGTGCAAAGTCGTCATCCTCTATACTATGTATTCAAATTCTATTTAAATACATATATATTTATTTTGATATATATATATATACATATATACAGCGTATATCAGCTTGAATGTATAGGGTATAGCTGACGTAAGCGTCGCACGGTTGACACAATTTACGCACAGCGACATTTAATGCGATTTGTCAATCGCCTAGTTAAAGCTGCGAGGAGGCTGTTTGACGTATTCAAAGTGCTATCAATACATCTATCTATCAACCTACCTATCTAACTAAATCTACAATCTAACAAGCCATCTTACTCAAGACCCACCTGCAGCTACTTTCTATATACTATATACGCTGTTTATACCCCAAGACCCAGGCTAGTATTACGGCTATGAGCCATCCCTTTACATCCCACAACTCGCAAGCGCCCATATGTAGACTAGAGAACGTTTCAATCGATAGGTGTATATTTGATATACATATATAATAACCCAAAGTATCCTGAAGATAGCTTTCAAGCCCAAGGACTAGAAGTCAATAATATATATACTAGACTATTCTAAGATTCTCCATATGCAGCTCCAGCTAGTCAGCGCAGAGAAAATCAATCGGTTCCAGGCAATGGCTGCTGCGCCGAATAAGCAAAATCAAACAAGTCGTTTGGCAACCGCAAATATTATTATACACCAGGCGAACAGAAATGTAAAGCAGGTAGCTGCATAAATATTTGCAGTGCTGCCCAGCGCAAGTTTGATGCTTAGAAACTGATCGTTCGCGCTGAGCAACACTGAAAATGATTTAATTGACGCTAAGCAGCACTGCACTGCTACCTGCTGTTAATTTCTGTTCGCCTGGTACAAAATAAGTTTTTGGGCTCAGAGGTGGCTGCCAAACGACTTGAGGTTTTTCGCTAATTGCCAGTGTTGGCAAATTCAAATCTATGCAAGCACAGCCTATTGCAATGCCAAGACATTTATCTCAAAGTGCACTTTATTCTTCATCCATGGAGACGAGGACCTGCAACAACATTTGATTTCGCAGAAGTAGCAAAGCACATGCAAGTGCACTCCATTGTTGCCCTAAGGAGACATCCTGTTGTTGACCTGAAATCAGTCTAGAAAACCTCCTACAGAGCTCCCGATTTGCGCCAGCTGTTCGCAGCGTGTTCGAACCTTAGGAATATCTTGGTTGACAATATGTACATATATATATATATATATATATATATTTAGCTGTACATGAGCCGTCAACGTGTGACGTTGTCTTTGTTTTTGTTTGCTTTTTCTTATCAACGAATGCATTCAAAGGGAAGGGAACATCAGCAAGCTGCTTAGTCAATTTGAAAAAAAATAAAAATAAAAAAAATAAATAAAAAGCACACAACGTCGAGAAGTGCAATTGTAAAAACTATAAAAAGCGTGCGCTCAAAAGGCTGAAGAGCAAACAATAATAATAATAAAAAAATCATAATAATGCAATAATAAATAATAAGCAACAACATTTGCAGGCACTTCAGGTTCAAGGGTGGCCTCCCGCGCAACCCCTCAAAGGAATGGAATCGTATTTGTGTGGGGCTTCTGGGCTGGTCCTGATAAGAGATAAGGGTGCGGCACGTTGTCTCGCAGTGCTCTCGCACTGTGCAACCGGTCGAAAAGAAACCAATCAAAATTTTGGACAAAACTTTCCAGCCGCCGCTTGTTTACGAATCTTTAGCGGAAAGTGAACCTCCAATAATGCCCACTCATATTTTTTTGTGTGTGTGTGTGGGGGGGGGTTGATAAGCGCAACGAGTCGGGGAACTTTGAAGCGGGCGCAACGCTCGTACTTTTACTAACAGCCCAAAACAAAGTGTATAAAAGAAATTATCAAGAAAAAGTCAAAAACAAGCATTAAACTCGCCAGACTACGGTCAACAATCGCGTGTTCCATCCACGATAAGATATATTTCGCCCGGATCCGAATCTAACCCAAAACTTGCCAACATTTCTGATAAGATCAGCTAAGGGGAAAGTTTCGCATCTGTTGCCATGGCCAATAATCGTATGCACCATTTGTATCTTACTAATAGAAAAATAGAAGACGCGAGAGTGACTGACTGCGCGATACCCTGCATTAAAAGCCGAGTTGCCGTAAGATGCAATAATACCAACTTATTTTAATGCAGGCAGATAAAAAGATTGATTATTATATAATTCTGATTGATTCTTATATAACTGCTGTATTTATTAATCGAAAGTTATTTCAATTTGTGGTCACAAATATGACAAACAAAAACTCAAGGGGCTTAACTCAAATAACACATTTTTATTCCTTAGTGCAGCTGGAAAAAGGTATTCAAAACTTGAACTAGACTTGAGGTATAGAAAAATCTAAAAAATTTGGTCTTTCTAGCTTGATTAATCTCAGAGATATGCACAAAAGAAAAACGAGTGCTGGTTAGAAAAACTTATCGGAAAACGGCAAAAAGTTATCGATAAATTTAAATTTTATCGATTTCTCCTCTAAAATAGTCGTTATTTTGACTGATATCGACAAAAGGATATGGTAGAGATATATAAGAATTTCTACTCTGCATTTTCCTAGCAGCAATATACCCCGTGTCTTTAACGGATACTGGGTATAAGAACTGTGCTAAACACGGGGTTCGCATCTCTGGTTAAAAAACATAGAATTCGCTTGATAAGCAACAAATAATTTGTTTTTTTTTTTTATATTTTGTTTATTAAGAAATCTGGTATCCTGTTACTCTATGTTAGCAACTTTTATCAGAGTGACATAATTACTTAGCTTAGCGATGATTGTGGTTTTACAATTAGTTATACAATTAGGTTAACAGATTACAGAAACATATTTTGGTGTAATTAACGAAGCTTGTCACCTATACATAACGATCGATTAGGTCGGTTGGGTAGGTCCTCTTCAGTCGCCTTCTTCTTCGCCTCCTTAGCAGGCTCCTCGCCAGGATGTTTGGGTGGTTGTGGAGCTTTGTTGAGTAGCTCGCTGCTTGCCTGTTGACTATGTCGCCCACCATTGGAACCTTGAGGTCCTTGGCGATGTCGCGTGTGCGAATATACCATTCGGCTCCAGTTATTTTGCGCAGGGTTTTGGCCTGAATGATGCGAATTTTGTTCAGGTGTGTTTTTGCAGCTATACCGTAAACTTGAAGCCCGTAACGCCACACTGGGGCAAGGATTACCTTGTAGATTAGGACCTTGTTTCGGAGCGAGAGTTTGTTTTTGGAGTTGAGGAGCCAGCTCATTCGCCTTATCTTAGATTTGATGTTGCTCGTTACTGCAGAGACGTGCTTACTAAATGTAAGTCGTCTGTCGAGAGTGACACCTAGGTACTTGTGTTGACGATATTGCTCTAGAAGCTCACCATGAAGAAAAAGTCCGGGGCATGAGTCCTTGCGTAGAGTGTGGGTAACCGTGGCGCACTTTCCAGGGTTCACTGCGATGTTCCATCTACAAGCCCAGTTTTCAAATCGCTTGAGGTATTCCTGCAAGAGGTCAGTTGCCACGTACACACATTTGTTTTTTGCAAGGATTGCCGTGTCGTCAGCAAACGTGGCCACCAGAAGGTCCTGCCGATCATTCCGTCTGCTTGCATTTGCTGTGGGCATGTCATGTGTAAACAGGCTATATAGCGTGGGACCCAAGACGCTGCCTTGTGGAACGCCCGCTTTTATGCGTTTGGTTTGAGAGGCTACTCCATCCTGCACCACTTGAAAGGTTCTCTCAGTTAGGAAGCTCGCAATGGTGCTAAATAGCTGCGGATTCAATTTGTCCTTTATCTTAGAGAGGAGTCCTGCGTGCCACACCCGGTCGAAGGCTTCTTGGATGTCAAGGTATGCTGCCACCACATACTCTTTCCTGTGAAAGCCGTCCAAAATATAATTTGTGACCCGATGTAGTTGCTCAGGGGTACCGTGTTTGAGTCGAAACCCAAACTGGAACTTCGGGATCAAGCGTTTTATTTCCGGGGTATCCAGGACCCTTCTGAGGATGCACCTTTCCAGAATCTTACCAAAGGCAGGCAGGAGGCTGATGGGGCGATAGGATCCCAGTTGATTAGGGGGCTTTCCGCTCTTGTGCAACATGATTATATGTGCCTTCTTCCAAGCCACTGGAAAGTAACCTAGCCGAAGAGCTGCATTAAAAATGGCGACGAGAAAAAGCACCGCCTTGTATGGCAGTAGCTTGATTGTCTGGTTGTCCAACCGATCTTCCCCAGGGGCTTTGCTGCTTTTTAATCTCTTCATCTCCTGCTCTACTTCTTGGAAGGTGATTGGCGATACAGGGAGTGACATTTGGAGTGGCGCCTCCAGGATTTGCGCGACTCGCTGTATCCTTGCATGCGATGCGGTCTCAAACGGCTTGAAGCGCTCCTCCAAGTTGCAGGCAAAGGCTTCGGCTCTGTCCATTGGTGATCTGGCCCAGGTGTCATCGGGAAGTCGAACGGGGAACTTTGGCGCAGCTTGCCGCTTGTATCGACTGCTAAGTTTCCACAGCGCGAATTTGGAGCTCTCGTCTGCCGTTGCTTCCTCCAGCATGGTGTCTGTGGCATTTCTTTTCGAGATAATCAGCTCCTTCCTGACCCTGTTAGCAATACGACGATAGATCCTGTCAATCGTGGGGTCCTGGGTACGGACATACTCCCTCCTCAGTCGCTTTTTTAGGGCGAGAAGACCTTCCAATATGGGGGAAAACGTCCTTGGCCGCTGGCTTGTAGGGGCTGAGTAGATATGTGCGGGCGCAGCGTTGGCGGCTGCGGCATGTACTTGGTCCAACAGGGTTTGTACTGCAGCGTCGACGTCCTCAACTGACAGAATCTGCGTGTTTAGGTTGATCAAGCTATTTAGTTCGGCCTTAAATCGTTGGATGTTCGACCCAGGGAGGACAAGCCTGCGCTTTTTTGGGATCCTTTGTGCAGCCGTGTTGATCGTTGTGAGGAGTGGCAGATGGTCGGAAGATAGATCATACTCTTCGCGAACCGATAGTACGCTGTTGGGGATGCCCTTGAATATAAAAAAGTCGATACAGGAAGGCGTACTTTGCCGGTTGTACGGAAAGTGGGTAGGTCTACCGGTGGCCAGTACCTGGGCTGAGCAGGGAGTGAGCGCCTCATGGAGCGCAGTGCCTCTGCTGTCAGCTCTGTAGTTTCCCCACAGTCTGTGCTTAGCGTTGAAGTCGCCTCCAACGATGAATTTGGGGCCAAGCTGGCCAAACAGGGAATCAAATTCCGCTCGGTTCCAGGGGATGTTTGGTGGTAGGTATGCTGCCGCAACGAGGATTTCGCCCAAGGGAGTCTCCACCATGATAGCAGCCAGCTGTGTGTCGCTGGAGGTCACTGTGTGTAGATGGTAGTGTGCTAAATCCTGCTTTGCCAGCACTACAGCACCACCTCTGGCTCGTCCTGTAGGGTGATCCGCACGGTAGCAGACGTACCCCTCCATTGTTAGGTACAAGTTTGTGTGCAGATGTGTTTCTGAGATGAGCATGATGTCTACATCATGCTTTTTCAGAAAAAGCTTGAGCTCGTTAGCATTTTGGAGGATGCCACGAGCGTTCCACGATCCGAGACGTAACTGGGTAGCCATTATTTGCGGCTTTTTGGGAATCTAAGCTGCGGGGAACCTTGCGCATCCTTTAGCTCTTTAATGCTAACCAGAATGGTTGCAACTGCGGCATTCAGTGCTGCAATGGACTGCTGGAGGTTTTGAAGGATGCCTCCAAGGGAAGCGTCTTGCTCCTGAGGCCCTTGCAGTGGTTGTTGGAGCTGCATTGGATTGACGGTGGGCTGAAGAGTGCGCGCTGGGGGTTGGCGGACTTGTACATGATGGCCTGGCCGTAGCGCATCAGCATACGACAGGCCCTGTTGCACAATTCGGGAAGGTACGAACTGCTGAGTGGTTCTTCGTGTATTTTGAGGATGGCTATATCGTGTAGGAGGGGAGACATTGATGGCCGGCTGCCTGGCATTTAGTCTCACCTGATAGCTTTTGCATCCTTTATAGGAAGCAGCATGGTTTCCCTCGCAGTTGGAGCATCGCAGGTCTGCCACTGTTTTGGCCTGGCACTGCTCGGAGTTTGTCCAATGGGACTGACCGCACCTACCACACTTGGGCTGTTTGAGACAGTAGTTTTTGGTGTGGTCGAACTCGAAGCAGCGGAAATAAAAAACAAATAATAAAAATAATATTCTGATTAATGTTAAGTGTTCTATTCGAAATTGCATTGCCTACTTTTTGGCCAGCGTGGGAATTAATTATGAACGGAATACAACTTAGAAACAATGTTGATAATTGAATTAAAAGCGCATTTAACGCCTACAAGTATCTAGCCTAAGCCAAGACAGAGGAGAGCGGAGCAGGGAGGGAGGGTGGCAGGAAGGGGGTGGCCATATAACTAATTGAGTTTAATTGACGAGACAAAAGCAATTAAGACACCGAATCTAAGGAATTGGTTAGATGTGCTGCAACTAGATTCCGTATTGCCCGAGAGTTAAATGCTTAACTAAGTCGATTATGCATAAATTAAACATAGAGTATGGCTGGAATGCGATTCCTTTGCTGTGCGACTCACTGACGACGCCCCCAGGCGGCGAGTAGCGGCAACAGCAGCAGCGTGACGAGGCCAACGCCCACACGTCCGGCCCCGTTGCAGACTTTGCGTATGGTCTCCGTGTAGAGTCCACGGCGGGAGAGCATGTTCCGTATGCTGCGCAGCTCCTAGAGATGAAGGGGAGGAGAAGGCAGTGTTGAGTAAATATTTACAAGCAGTGATAACGTAGCGACTGCACAATACTCTGTTTACAGCATAATATAGTTCGGAATTGTCTATTGAGCACGTGACTCTAAAACTGTAAGCACAAGGACAGTGCCTGTCAAACTACCAGCTTGAACAATTAAGCAGGCAGAGAGGAGAACTTCAATTAGGGCCATGCTTAATTTGATATATCTTGTTGTGACTCTAAAACTGTGACAAAAGGGTTCATTCGGTATTTTCTTAGCTTCGATCTTTGCGTAGATCATGACAGAAGGTTTCCGTATTGCGGACAGACACAAAACTAATATGACCCCATTTGCCCATTTGTAAACAGAGTATGTTAAGTTGACTGTTGCTCACATCGTTGCTGAGGCCCAGGCGATTGCGTGTAAGCACAACCGTATAAATGGAGCTCTTGATATCGTTGCCGCAGAAGGTCAACACCAGATGATCGTTGACCGCTTTTACCACCTGGACGGTGCCCGTGAACTGTGTATAGGTGTTGCGTGTGACCAGAGAGCCGCGCTGATCCCCAATATTGGACCAATGGCCGGGCGCATCTGTCGTATAGTTGAACATATATTCCAGATTGTTGTCACGCTCGCTCCACACCAGACGCAGATATCCTGCCCGGTGCGCATTCGCCGGCTGACGCACATACTCATCGTTGTCCGCATATTGCGACGTGGTCGAGATGTGTCTGTAATTGTTTTGATTCTGATTCTGATTTCGATTGTTGTAGTTGCGGTAATTGTTGTTGTTGTTGTCGTTGTACAGTTTGCTATTGTGCATCTGAAAGCAAGCAAAAATTCTCAACATGAAACATAAATCGCACAATGTTCTCGGACTCGGACTCACCTGCTGTGTCACATCGGTCAGGTGAATTATAACGCACGAATCGTATTCGTAGACGCCGGGAAAATCCTGACTATGCATTATGATCTCGCTGCCATACCACAAGCCCATTATCTGTATAATCAAGTTTATATATAGTATATTTATATATACAAAGAAACTCTGCTAAAACAAACAATTGTGCGGCACGTCGAAGTTCAAATACCCTTTTACGAATATGTGAAAAGCTGAAGACTATTCCATATACAAAAATTAATTTTTTACTCTCTCTTCCTGCAGAGCTATATCTTATAGTAATCCAATATTGCTTAGATATGTCTCATATATGGGGAGCACGACCAATCCTTATGACAGCTATATGATATTACGATCCGATCCGAACGTCTCCTTAGCAAAGTTTCATGATGGAAGATTTTGAGGAGAGAGATTCGTTTGCACAGACATTCGAATAAAACTAGCTTGTTCTTTGAGGCGTTGCACATTTGCTGAGCAAATTATAGCACCCCATGAAAGGGTATTAACAACCTGTAAACATGAAATGCATCTACAAGTGCTTTGAGAAACCTTGCAGCAGGTGTCGCTTCTAAGAAAAAACCACCCAACACACTATACTTTTATATGGCAACTTCTATTCTGCCAGTTCTACTCGAACTGCCTAATGCTGCGTACATTTGGGCTTTACAATAATTCAATTATAATTGAAAAAGTTAAAGTAATGTCGATATAGATGTAAACGCATATAGCATATATGTGAATACATTCCGCTCGACAATTTCGATTTGCATGCGCGTCACGTACTCGGACTGCCTCAATTATTGGCCCGCATGCAGAAGGTCTGACAAACGGACGGACGGACGGGCTGACTAAACGACTCACTCACTGATCGACTGGCTGAGTGTCTGGGAAGACGACCCGACGTTGACATATGCCCCTTTAGTCAAAGGGGTTAATTAGCACAAATCAGCCCTAATTGGATTAGTTATCAACAAAAGTTCGAGCCGGAAATTCCAAGTTTTTCTTTACGCAGAATCAGATGCGTAATATTCGAACCTTAAACAAGAGAGGTTTCATTTAAGGTTTATGATTAGGAAAATCAACTTATTCCAATAATACAAATATATTAATACACAGAGTTTCATTAGAAGTTGAAAGTATTCGAAACAATATGGCTAAAAAGTTTCAGGTTCGAAAAAAACCCATTTTTAATTGAATCTACAACGAGAACCTCAGTTCCGTAATGCCAACTCACCTGTTGCAGATCCACCGAATGCTGTGGATTGACATTAACGCAACGCATTGCCGCATTAATACGTTCGGTGCTGGTGGCGCCATCCACTGATCCAAAGACATTATGATCTAAATTGTTTCCTGCGCAGTGTGACCAGCAGACGCTAAAGATCACAAAATATGCAAATTTCATAAGCATGGTAACTCGCGGGCTATCACTGTATGTGTGTGCGTGGGGTGTGTGGGAGCCTGTTGATAAGGCTTGAACCGTTGCTGCAGACAACGAGCGACCTGCGCTTTATGAAATGCCGGAATCAACTGACAGCTTAAACGAGCGAAGGCAAAGCTACAGCCAGCCGAAGGAGAGGGAGAGAGATTGAACGAAAGAGAGCAGAACAATTGCATGAGTGTTGGTGAAAGGTGACAAAGAAGGAAGCGACAGGGGGCGGCAGCTGTAACTGCACTCTTTCGTTCAGTTTGTTGCGTAGCTCGCGCTGATCATTAGTTAATTAAGTTAATTGTTGAGCTTTTGCTGAGCCACTCGCACCCGCACAATGCGAATGAGCCAAGCCGCACGCCCACCCTAACCCCTTTGCCCACGACTGACAGTGTCAATTGAGCTCGCGTGTGTGTGTGTGTGTGTGTGTGAGTGTATGTACGCTTGAACTGACCATTCAATTGCTTGAGCCACAAAACTGAGCACATTTTTAGAAAGACGAAGCTTTAGCTTGGCAATGGTTGTGTTGTAAGGGCGGAGGGAGGTAGCGGGGGGTGTTCGGGATGAGTCAACATGTGAATTAAATTTACTCAGCATCGTTTTCGTTGTTATTGTTGTGCGTTTTATTAGCATTGATTATGTGCTTAATCTACGTGCCTGCCCCTGCCCCACCCCTTGGATATAAATAAAAAGAATCGTACAATGTTTATAGCCTACATGTAGGTGCTGCCATAAATATAAGTAGCTTGTGACAGCATTGGGGCGAGCGCTTGTTGGGGCCTAAATATATATATATTAATATATATAGCTTGTGGTTTATTTAGAAGCGCAGCAAGCTCTGGTTGATCTTCTCGTAGATCCAATCGATATAGTGACAGACGCGCACATAGACGCCAGGTCGGTTCTGGTAGCCGCAGTGCTGTCCCCAGGATATGATGCCATAGAGTGTTTCGCCATCTGCAAAGGAGCACAATATTAATCAAGTCCTGAAAGCCCTATAAGCTTCACACTACTTACCCTCATCCGAGCAGACAAGCGGCCCACCAGAGTCGCCCTCGCAGGCATCGACGCTTTCGTCCATGGAGCCAGCGCAGAACATGCCTAATTAGAGCAGGAATAGAAGAAAGTTGAGACTGATAACATTTTGGATTGGATCGGATGTGTATATGTGTATACTCTGGCAGAGGGTACAATAATTTCGTCCGGAAATTGGCTACTTATAGTAGGACACAATTCCGACCCAATAAAGAATATATATTCTTGATCAGTAGAGCCATATTTTTCAGCAAATGCATATATAGATTCTCTACAAATCATATAATAGGAAGCTTATATGGATAAAATATATAATAATAAAGGTATTTTATACGAAGTCATATAAGTATTATATATGTTTATGTGTATATATATATATGTGTGTGTGCGTGTGTATGTGTGTATGTGTGTGTGTGGACGTGTATGTTTGTGTATGTATGTATGCATGTGTGCATTATGTATATATGTATGCGTGCATGTCTGTTTTCTAATGCCAAACGCAGACTTAGCTTATTAGACGTTATGCTGCAAATTTAAATAAAACGAATTTCTGCCAAGTGCTGTCCTCCTCGATTCTCAAAAATTCAAGTAGGCCCTGCTTAAATTCACCAAGGCAGCAAACGTTGGCTCCGACGGCCTGGAGGAGCAACTGCGGAGGAGGCGGTGGAGCTGGAGGAGGTGGGCGTGTAAGTAGATATGTAGGTAGATGTAGATGTATGTATGTAGGTAGATGTAGATGTATGTATGTAGGTAGATGTAGATGTATGTATGTAGGTAGATGTAGATGTATGTATGTAGGTAGATGTATGTATGTACATGCGTGTATATGTAGGTATGTACATGCGTGTATATGTATGTATGTACATGCGTGTATATGTATGTATGTACATGCGTGTATATGTATGTATGTACATGCGTGTATATGTATGTATGTACATGCGTGTATATGTATGTATGTACATGCGTGTATATGTATGTATGTATGTATGTATGTATGTATGTATGTATGTATGTATGTATGTATGTATGTATGTATGTATGTATGTATGTATGTATGTATGTATGTATGTATGTATGTATGTATGTATGTATGTATGTATGTATGTATGTATATATATATGTATGTATGTATGTATATATATATATATATATATATATATATATGTATGTATGTATGTATGCATGTATGTATGTATGTATCAAAGGCTGCATCTACCTTCAGTGATGGCATCACCGTAGACATTCATTTGCTTGCAAGTCGCATCCGGCAAAATGGGTAGTTGGGCAGCTCTCAGTTCCTGGGAGGGAGCTGCAAGCAAAGGCACCAGTTAGTACCCCAATGAAAACGCATTGCACGCTGTTTACTCACTGGACATGCCTGATTTGATGGAGCCCCAGCCGGAGATGGTGCAAGTGCGATTCTCAACCAGCGGCGCACCACGCTCCGGCAAACAAATCGGCTGCACGTAGTCGCTGAACTTAAGCGGTGTCTTGAGCACCACGACGGCAATGTCATTGTTCATGTGCGTGGGCTGGCGGAACTGCTCGTGCGTGTACCAGTTCTCAATGAACGCATCCACCTCCGAGTGCTCCGCTATGTTGGCATAGTGATCGCCGACGCGTACAAAATACGCGCCCTTTGGATGTCCGTAGAGGCAGTGGGCGGCGGTGAGCAAATGCCGCTTGGAGATGACCACAGCGCCGCACCAGTGGCTGGAGATGCCGCCGCGTCCACGCGTGCGTATTGTGGCCTGCCACGGATGACGGCCACGACGTGCTACGCTGCCCTGCACCACACGCTGTTCCGGATGCGCAAACTCATCGGTGAGGTCGTCTTTGAAGATGCCACAGCGTCGCGGTGTGCGCAATGCCTTGCTCGATCTCTCCCAGAGGCCTATGTCGGAGAGACTAACTTGGGCGGCTTGGCCAACCGAGCTGTCCTTGTCCAATGCCTGTAGACGAGTTCGTTGCCGTGACTGCCGCGGTGGCGGTCCGGCGGTGCAGCGCAGACCCACATCCTCGGTGTGATTGCAGTTGTGTTCGCCCCAGTTCCAGTGCCGGCACATGTCTATGCTCGTCTCGTTGCCCTGACATAGAACCTGATCCAGCCAGATGGGTCCGCTGCCCGGTCCGAAAATGTTCTTTTCAATTTTCTAAAAGAAAGCAGAAGAAGTTTAGCTTTTCCGATTGCCAGTTGTTTCTGGCCAGTTGACACTTACAGCTGTTCCATAATAGCCCAGATTATTGCAGGCCACCTGCGCAGCTTTTATATTGAAGTCATCGTCGCAGACGGAGCCCCAAACGCCATGATACTTGACCTCCAGGCGACCCTCGATCGGGCTGCGTCCGCCCTCCAGACGGTACTCAATGGGCGCCTAAAAAAAGGTACGGTTTAGTCTAAAGGTCCATAGCTGAAAGCCCGACACTACAAACCTTGCAAACGGCATCGCTCTCGTCCGACTTGTCCGCACAATCCTCGGTGTGATCGCAGACAAAAGCGGGCGGTATGCACTCCTTTGACGTCTGACATAACCAGAAATTGTTGGGACACTTCAGCACGGGCACCTTGCAGACCACGCCCACCACCTCATCAACACCACAGTTGTGCACACCCCAGCCCTTAAAATCGCAATCCTTTAGCTTTGTCTCGTTGCCCCGACACTCGAGCTCGTCCATGGCATAATTGAAGTTCCGCTCGGGTGGCTCATAGTAGGAGTTGCCACGCACCTCAGCAGCGCCCATCTTAAAGCCCAGCTCACGGCACACAACATCCGCATCGCGCAGCCCGAACTTGTCGTCGCAAACGTAGCCCCACTGGCCATTGACTGATCGGATAGAAAGACTTGATATGCCATATAGTTGCTTATTGGATGAAGTTAACTCACCCTTGACCTCAATGCGTCCCATGTGCGGACTCTCGCCGCCCGTCAGGCGCACCTGATAGCCCAGATGATCGCACTGATGCTCATCCCTCCGATTGCCACAGTTGTTGACGCCATCGCAGATTTCGATTTTCTTCACACACTTGCCGCCGCCGCAATCAAACTCGCAGGGCTCATCAAAACCACTGCGAAAACTTATTTGTTGAGTACGTAATGTGGTGGCTTCCGCATTTGGATTGGGCAGAAAGTCCGGCTCTATCTCAAGGTCTGGCTGCGGCTCTGGCTGCTCCCTTGGCTTAGGTTGTGGATGCTCCTCGTTTTTGGTGGAAAAAGGATTGGGTAGATTTGGATGGCTGCTATGGTAAAGACGGCTGTGCTCGTGTGGATGATGGTGGTGGTGGTGGAGGTGGTGGAAGTGGTGGGTGTGATGCTGGTCTTCTGGCTTATCGAACGGATCGGGCATATTTGGATGACGCTTGTGGAACTCACGACTGTGACCCCACGTATGCGGTTTGTTGGAATTTGAATGTGGATACGATTGCGTACTGCTGTCGGTGTCCACTCTACGTGTGCCGCGTTGGAAGTCAGTCGTGTCATAGCCGGATGCGTACGTTGTAGGATTTAGGGTTTGCTCAGTGCGCGCCGTTTCAACCGCATCTGGAACAACAGAGTCATCGTCAGCAATGTCCAAGCTTTCCTGTTCGCCCGCCACAATCAGTTCAACCTCATCGTCGGGCGTCTGTCTACCCCGATGGGGTACTTTGGTCGTCGTCGTGGTTGTGGTCGTGGTCGGGATGGGAGTCGTGCTAGTCGGTGGCTTGCTAATAGCGGACGCAATGGCGGATTCGGCCCGCTCGGCTAGTGCTTCCTGCGCATTGCCGCTGTGATTGAAATAGGGCCGCAGCATCAAACGCAACGCCTCACCGAGAGCTACCTTTGAGGGTGTCTCTGCGGCGGGAGCAGCACCTTGTGATGGATTGTAAAACTGATGGTTGAATGGTGGTGGCCTCAAGCCGTTTCTTTCTGTGGTGGTCGTCTCCGAGTCACCATAATCGGCTTCATCATAATCTCCTCTGTCTAAAAAAGGATCAGATTCGGGGGCACGAGGTGGCACCTTTTGCCAGGAAGCGTTCTGCGAATGCGCAACTGCCGCATAGGGCGGACTATAGTGTGGGTGATTGGCTGGATTAGCAGGTGTGGCATCGAACACACGTGGATAAATCGGGAATGTGCGAAGGTTCGAAGGCGTCGAGCTGGTGGTGCGAGTTGTTGTAGTCTCGGCCAGAGATGGGCGGGAGGGTGGCTGCAACCCACCATACAAATTCGATTCATTAGCCACAGGATGGGGCTGACCCCGATAGGTGGGACTGTGATTGGCAGGCACAGAGGGAACAATAGGGTAAGGCTGATCTACAGTTGCTTGAGTATCCACATCGGGATTATAGTCGTCCAGGTCAAGTGGTCGCTGTCCTGGTTGGGCATGGGCAGGGGGATTGTGTTGTGGGTGAATCGGAGTAAAGCCTGATGGCTGAGCTGGAGGTGTAGGCGGTTGAAGACCACCATACAAATTCGATTCAACCGCTGGCTGATAAGATTGACCATGTAGAGTGGGATTATGATTAGTGGGCACAGAGGAATAAGGAGGGCGGGAATGCTCGCGAGGCTCTTGATGCGATCCGCTTGGCAGCTGATTCCTAGGCTCTTCAGCATGTCCATCGGGCTGGTAGTCAAGATCTAAGGGCTGCTGTCCTGGTAGACTAGCCTGAGGGTAGCTGCTCTGAGGATTGTATGGTGTGCGTGCCGTATGCCAGTCATTTGTCTGGGAGCGACTGAAATTCTGACGCGACGAGTGGACAGTCTCCACGGGCTGAGCATAGTAAACATTGCTTGTGGTGGGCGCCATGGGCGCCAGTGGCGTTTTATATATTGAATTTGTGTTAGTGGCTTGATAATTACGATTCGGCTGCAGTGAGCCCTCCACATAGAGCACGCTCTGTGTGGGCGCTTGTCGATTGTAGGAGCTTCCCTGGCCCGACCAGCCGTTAGCGAGTGTCTGCTGTGTGTCCTGCCCAAAGCCAATGCCCGAAGGACGTGCCATATTCATGTCGCTCCAGCGACTTCCGCCACTGACAACGGTCGTTTTAATGCCCGATCCACTGCCGTACTGATCGGCACCACCGTAAACCGGTTGCACATACGCCTTTGGCTCGCGTGCGTCTGTAAGAGTCAGGAATTATTCGTGAAAAGTGAACAAATATCGGATAATGAATGTTAGTAACCATGACGCAGATCTATCCAACCATAGGAGTTCAGTGCTTGCTTTGACTGATAGTCACAGCGATCGTGTGTGGGCACCTGTGTGCCCGGCACACACAGACGCCGGGATACGCTGAAAACCTGACCAGCGGAACAATCGAGGAATACCGCCTCCGAGTTTTGGGCTGCACAATTGATAAATTTGTGTGGCAACGTCGGATGCTGATAGTTGCCCGTCAAACCAAATGGACACCTGATCCTAATGCTGGCTCCCACATGTTGAAGCTGCTGCCACCACTCGTAAAAGATCTGCAGCTCACTTAACTGGTAAACGCGATCGATGCGCTGCACTTGCTCCTGAGGTTGACATCTGCGCTGCGACAGGCTAAAGTGTTGACCATTGGGACAGCTTTGAAGGCGCGTGATGCCCGCCTCACAGCTCAAATACTGCGTACAGTCGAAGGGATAAGCGTGATTGCCCACAGCATCACGTGGACAACTTATAGCTGTAACGGGAGAAGATCATCAGGTTTCCGCTTTTCCTGACTTTTCACGGCCCAACTCACACTCCAAATGTTCAAGGCTCAGCTCTTCCGCACCGCTAAGCAGGGAAACGCGATCTGCAGCGAGCACGAGTTCCGCTGACAGGCAATAGCCACGCGAGAGACTGAAAACTTCATTGGGCAGGCACTGCCTGATCGTTGTATGTCCCTCATCGCAATACAGATAGCTTTTGGCATTAAAGGGATGTGCGTAAAGGCCATAGACATGAACAGGGCAAGCCAAACGATAGGAGGCAACGCTGGTAGTATAAGTATTCGGATTGATGATAGACTGAGCACAATTCACTTGGGCGGCGTGATCGCAGATGCTCCGTAATCTATTGAAAGCTGTACCGGGCTCACAATCCTGAACAAAGGTCTGGCCATTTGCGCAGTTTAGAAACTTGGTGCAGTCATAAGGATGCGGTTGAAGTCCACCAGCACCAGATAGACATTCCACAACTCCGTTAACAGGCTGTAAATTGAACTGCGGCTCTCGACCCTCAGCCACCGGGTGTTCTTGGGAGAACTCATGCTGCGTCTCCGTTAGATACTCCACCCGATCGTACGCGGCCACCAATTCATCCCTGGCCACGCAACTTCGTTGGGAGATGCTGAAGACCTCCCCCTTTTCACAGCTCTCAATGGAGGTCTGTTGATCGCGACAGTTTAAATACTTGGTACAATCAAAGGGATGCAAATAGTATCCAACTGCATTTGCGGGACAGGTGACAGTGGTAAGGTCTAGCAAAAGGTCAGCTGGGGAGCGAGAAATACTAAAGGTCACTCAAATATTCAAATTCAGAGATTATCTTACTCGAGAGCTGAATATTTATATAGGCATAGTCCAAAAAGTCATGTGACGTGAGCTGCTGGCGAGCCGCACACCTGCGCGTGGATAGACTATAAACAGATCCCGCTGGGCAGGACTCCACCTGCAGCAAACCATTCTGACACAGCACAAAATGACTGGCATGGAATGGATAGGCGTAGTTGCCACGCAGATTGGGGGGACACGACTTTAGTCCAGACTGGAAGGCCTGACTATCTGTGTAACTGTAGCTGCCTCCTTGAAAGCTGAGCTCCGAAAAGAACTTGACGCGTTCCGCTCGGGTCACTTGTCTACGCGGTCGACACGCCCGTTGAGTAAAACTATATGCCATATCCTCTCCACAGCTCAAAACAGACATCCCTCCTCCAGCTTCGCAGCGGACATACTTCCCAGCATCGTAGGGGTAGAGATGAAGACCATCCGTGCCCGCCGGACAGCGGGTCAGCATCAGAGCTGAAGAGGGTACAGCTCAAAAGGAATGAAGATCGGATAACACGAAGTCACTTACAATATTCGTAGCTGATCTCGGAGACAATGTAAGTCACATAGTCGCTATACACAGTTTGTGCCTTAAGCTGGCAATAACCTTTGGATATACTAAAGACGTGGCCAGGAATACAGCTCTGGACAGCCACCTTGCCAGCCTTACAATTGAGGAACTTGGTTTGATCGAAGGGATGAGCGAACAGGCCTTCGACACCTCCAGGACAGAGTAGATCACTCAGCCGGGCGGTAGCTGAGAGGATTCGTTAGGATTACAAACTAAACAAGCAAAAAAACGAGCAACTGGAAGCGCATGAGAAGCAAAAGATGGTACCAAAGACCCAAATGAGAAGCGTATGGAGTAAGCAAAAGAAAGTGCAGGTAGATATAAGTTCAACTTACAGGAGAAATCAGTTTGGGCAGAGAGGGCTCCAATGGGAATACAAATCAAACTGTGGCCATCGAAAATTTTACCCGATGGGCATTGCTCTAGACGCGCCTGCACACCAATTCCACAAATTACATATTTATAGGGGTCATTGGGGTAGGGAAATTGACCGCGAGCGCCTTCTGGACAAGTGAGTCCACCAGAAGTGCCACCCGTTTGACCTAAGTTTGTGTTAGTTGAGGATGTGTATTAAATGTAGAAGCCAGACGTACCTTGAGCTGATACATCAACATTGAAGCGACCATCACCGCAATCCACCTTGTGCTTGTAGTCGCAAACCAACATGGTTGGACTGAAGGCTGTGCCGGGTCCACAGTTCTGGATAAAGGTCTGTCCGTTGGCGCAGTTCAGAAACTTGGTGCAGTCATAAGGATGTGGCTGCAGGCCGTTCAAGCCCGCTGCGCACTTGGGCTGTGTATTCAGCTGCTGCATGCGGGCCGAGCGACCAGCTTGACCCTCACAGGCTACTTGGGACAGGTGGTCACAAGTTCCAGTTAGGGCATTAAAAGCCGTGCCCGGTGAACAGGTTTGTATAGTGGATTGACCATTTGTGCAGCTGATGAAACGATGGCAATCGTGGGCATATGGCTTAAGTCCTCTAAACTGGGGCGGGCAGGCCGTATCCCGTTCATAGATTGGCTGCTCTTGAGCGTGGGCATTGTTGGAATGCGCCGATGCTGATAACCCGGACTGCGCCGTCTGTCCATCAGAATAGCTGCCAGGTTGATAAGCGAACGATTCGTGTAGCTGTCGAAGTCGTAATTGAGAACATTTTGTGTGTGATTATTATGGGTTTATATATATTGGATGGATCAATAGAAGAGAGACTTCCTGTTGAATATCAATTCGTATCAATTAAGTAATAAATCGTCATACTTACGGCCAGCACAAGGAGCGCCAGTCCAAGGCGCAAAGCTCTCAAGATCATTTATATATATATATATTTTTTTTATATATATATAAATTATTTATATAGTATTTTTATTTTCACTCAAACTGATAGCGTTGGCCCGAAAAGTGATACGAGAGATGCGCGCGAATTTCAATTTTAGCTGCCTCTGTCGCTGAGCTTCAAAACTCGACTGAGGCGGCAGCCTCCGATTCTCCAACAATTCTCAAGCTCAATTGGGCTGCCGCTGCTGCAGATAGGCGGATGATGCTGCAGCGTAGCTCCAATTGAATGCCGCCTTATCGGTCGTGGCAATCTCTAGACCTTTTCGTTGTCGCTTATCATTTGTTTTGGTTCCACTTGTCATACCCTGTACCAATAGAAAATGCGTAGAAAGGGGTATCAAGTTGTGCAAACAGAAGCCAGCATCTTCGTTCCTATAAAGAATATACATATTCCCAAGCTTTAAGAGCTAGATGTGCCACATACATTTTTTACCAATCGGACTAAGGAAAGAGGAACCACAACCGCTGCCTACGGTGCGCAGCTTGAATCGTGTCTGTATAAAAGTAAATGGGAATATATGTTACGACCATACTCATCTCAATACGGGGTATCTACTAGTCGTGCACTTAACTAGAGCACACTAAGTTGTTTACACTTAAGTATGTTGTGGGGGGTTTCACACAATTTATTTCTAAGAACGATGATGAGTCGCCATGGATGATGTGATAATTTACAATGGGACAGTCGTGTGGATTCGTGTGGACTTAGGCTCATGGCAGGCTCTATTTACCTGACAGTTAAACAAACTACTTACAACATAAGACTAGTGGCTCACTTGGTAACCGGCTTATCAGCAGGCGCCTCGTCCAAGAGTCGCGCGCGCTTTTGTATCTTGAGCCACAGCTGATCATACGGCCGCTCCAGCTCCGTTGACGTTTTGGGTATGCCCACGGCGCGTCTCATTTCCGGCGAGAGCAGCAGCAGATTTTGCGCCAAACCAAAGCTACTGGAGGCCACCCAATAGACGCACAGCGCCGACGGCACCGTGCAGGCCACTGGCACCATCAACACGCTGAGACCTCTGAAACAATTGTTGGCTATGTTCTGTAGACGTGTGGGCGGACGCGTGCGCGTCATAGTCTGCAGCTCAACGATGGCGAGATTGATGAGTCCCAGTGTGACGGGCAGAATATAGGAACTATCTACTACAGTTAGATTTGGTATCCAACCTATGCCGCCAATTGTCAGCTCTGTGGCTATGATTTGTGCCTTCAGCGTTGTGGGATCCGGCAACATGTAAACCAGATTACGCAAGGCTACAGACTGGAATATCCACAACGGTATTTGACCCCAGAGCACAATGACCGTCTTCATGGGATGGCAATTATCACGCACTATTAGATTTTGCCATTGCTTCTTGATCTGCAAGGTAAAAGTTTATGTTTTTAATAATCTTAGAAAATATGCATTGCACGCAGACAAACCGAACGCCTGTAGACAATTTGCGTTTGCTTGTCGCTCCACTTGAACTTTTGCTTGGCCATAGCCGCCTCGCGTTTCAGCTCCTCCACTATGGCCGGCATTTCCAGTGCAATCTGCTCTATTCGCGCCGTTATCTTGTGCTGGTAAATGGTCAACGGCAACGTGACTACGCTGCGAAACAAAAACGTGGACAGCACAATAGCCGCCCACCAGGGCAGTCCACTGTAGTCATGTATTTGGGTCAGGGCATCCTGCATATAAGCCACAGGTGTGCTGTTCGACAATGTCTGCCAGAAGCCGACCAGCCCGCCGGCACTTGCCAGCTGCGATGCTGCCGTTGCTGCTGCTGCGGTTTCTGTAGAGGCATGCCGGCGTGGATTTGTGGCACTCGCACGTAGATAACCATATTTACAAACAGCGGTAAACTGGGATCGCCTACAAGCGCCCAGAATTAGTGACATTATACAAAACACAAGCCAAGTTGTTACCACATTTTTTTCCAATGTGACCGTGCGCAGGCTTTGCAGAAAATACCAACAAACTGTTATTTAACAGTCAATGCGCATGTTATGTGATGGAGGATTTAACAGTGCTGTATCTTAATTGGTCGATGTTGCGTCGCACCGTTCGGTCGCACAAAAGTAAAATTAACAAGTTCAATAAAGTAAAGACACGGATTTATTTGGGATTATATAGTTAAAGTTATGAATATACCCCAATGGCATACAATACCAGCGGTGGCACTAAATCAAATATTCGACTATCTCGATTCTCGAGACCGCAGAGCTGCGGCCAATTGTTGTTGGGCATGGAGGCATCATTTTTTTCAAAGACGGTAAGTCCAGCAGAATCCATTATGTACATATGCATGTGTATGTATATAAGCACAAGTGTATGTGTGCATATATCTATGCATGGCTATGTTTGTGGGGATTTTCGCTTTTGCGTCTCAAACAAACAAAGTGCTGCTGCTGCTGTGTGTGACGCACAGCTGTTCTCGCAGATGCCCATCGGGAGGGGCAAGTGTGTGTTTTTCTTTTTGGCAAGCCTTGAAAGACAACAAAGCATTTATTAATACGTGTAATAACAAAACAAAGCGCGGCCATACAAACACACACACACACACACAGGCGCACAATGAAAATGTTGCTACACCAATACAAACACACACGCATACACGTAGCCAAACACACAGCTGATGTCGACGTCGCTGCCACAGTGCTCAAGAAAAGTCATCGTATAGGTTTTAAAATAAAAAAAAAGTAACAATTAGTGCTAAATTCAAAACAAGCATATATAATCGTTTATATAAGTGAATTATAATAATTGTTATATCCAGTCAATGCCCAAACTGACTATATACTTATTTCGCGCAGTGTACATGACGTACAACGTGGAAACTGTATTTGTTAATAGTTGTTTCTTGTTATATTTCTACTTTCGCTGCGGCAACAGCTATTTTAGAAACTTTCGCTTTCACATCGACGTGGCCCAGGATGACCAACTGACGTTCTTTCATCACAGCATGGCCAATCTGGCCAAGGAGCTGGTCATAGTCTTCGATTTTCACAATGCCTTTCATATACAAAAAATGCGGCGGCTGCTCTACAAGTAAGTGCAAACCAATAAACATCATATTTAACCCGAGATAATATTCTAATTTCTTTCCCTAGAGCGGCGCGCTGTGATAATATTCGGGCCTTGCGTTTCCAAACCAACAATGTGGGTCTTGTGGCTGCCGGCAATATGCACAGCGAACATCTGGTCGCCATAGAACAGTAGGAGATATAACTAAAATACTTCATTATCGTTGCTAAATCCTTGTTTCCCAATTCAGGTGTTTTGTGGAGCCACTGAAGTTGATTTTAGGCCGCAAGAATCAGGCGTGTCAGGTATTGGATCTGGGTGCCATTGAAGCGCTTACCTATTATGGTCAGGACTTTCTCAAGGCCATGGGCAAGCCGCAGGAGCTGCTGCAGTTGACGCTGTCCAGCATTAAATACGATCCTAGTCACTATCCCATACTCGGGCTGGACACCACGCTGCTGCAAAAATGTGCCGCACTGCAAGTGCTTTCGCTGGACTACGACACGCTCAACGATGAGCTACTGCACACCATACAGGTGCTGCCGCTGCGTAAGCTGCTCATTGTGGTGCACGGACTCGATCAGGAGGAGCATTCTGATGTCTCGGAGGCCGCTTGGTCCAACTTTTCGACACATTTCACGGACATTGAACTGGTGCTGACGCTCGTCTACGCCTATGAGGCTGTTGAGCAATTGGAATTGCGCATTCTGCGCCGCAACATGCCTGTCACGCACATCCGCATGCTCTTCTGTGAGTTCATGAACGAAGAGGCGCTCGACTGGATGTCCGTGCACAATAGCGACACGCTGCGCAGCATCTATTACATTGATTCGGTGAGCAAGCATTCCAATCGCATTGACTACATGCGTCAGACCAGACTACAGGATCCATTTGTCATGCTGTCCTGGCGCTGCAAGCAGCTCGAGGAGATTGTCGTGCACGGCTACACCATGGATCCGCACAATCTGCTTGGCATTGCACGCCTGCGTGGTCGCCAGCTGCGTCGTCTAGAAGTATCTCAAATCGACTGGGAGCCCAACGTCGCAGCGCAGCCCGTTTTTAATCAGGTGAGTGGCTGAGATTTATGCCTATGCCCGACGGTCTGACTGATGTTGTTTGCAGGAAATGTGCTCGTTGTTGGGACAACAATGGAGGCCAGTTGAGCCGGAGCAGTTGCCAAGCGAAGGCTATGGCCCTGTCGACTATGATGTGCGCGATAAGTATGTTTTTGAATTAATGCGAAAGGATCTGAGCCATTAAAGCACAAATCAACCAAAAATCGAATAAAGCAACGTCATGCAACAGCAACATCAACAACAACAACAACAACAACAACAAAACACGACTCACAATATAATACAACATGACACGTGATCAAATCGAGCGCATAGAAATTTGTAGCGTTTAGTAAACTTTTATGTAGGCAACTAAAAAAAAAAAACAAAAAAGAGCAAAAGAAAACCCTAAAAGGAAAAGCGATCAATTAACTTTTTCTGTTAAGTTAAATAAAACGATTTTTGATAGATAATAATACAACAACCGTAAACAATTATAAAATTGGCAAGCCTTTATACAACTTACAATTTTCTTTCGTATGTTAAACTATGTTAACTTAAAATTAAATTTTGTTCGGCCACACAGCAAATATGAATGCAAGAAACGGCATAAAAGACTTGAGCACTTCAAATGCAAATGAAAAATGTAAACGAATTGTAAACAAAAATCCAACAAAAATAACAGGCAGTTTGTTGTAAAAAAAAAAAAACAAGTAGAGCAACAACAAACAGCGACAAAAATAAGATAGGTAGAGAGAGAGAGCGAGGGAATGAGGGAAGATAAACATCATTTTATAAGCAACAACAACTGTGATTTAAACAAAATGCAAGCAAGCAAAAGAAAAGCCAGTTACCGCAGCGGCAGCAACAACAACAACAACAACCAATTGTTAAGCAAATTGTCTAGTTAGCTAAGTAAAATATTAAAAACATTTAAGAAAAACAACAAACAAAAAAAAACGTGTTAAAAAATGATTGTAAACCAAGCAAACACACACAAAAAACAAAGACCAATGTCAAATTGTTAGCTCAATCAATTGGCGAAAAAAAAACCCAAAAAAAAAAATTGTTAA